GAGGCCCAGGAGAAAAAAATTTCATCCTCCTCTTTGTAACACTCTTTTAGGTACTTGAAAACCGCTATCCTGTACCCTCTCAGTCTTCTCTTTTCTAAACTAAACAAGCCCAATTCTTTCAGTCTTCCCTCATAGCTCATGTTCTCTAGACCTTTAATCATTCTTGTTGCTCTTCTCTGTACCGTCTCCAGTTTCTCCACGTTTCTTGAAATGTGGTGCCCAGAGCAGGACACAATACTCCAACTGAGGCCTAATCAGCATTGAGTAGAGCGGAAGAATGATTTCTTGTGTCTTGTTCACAACAACACGCCTGTTAATGCGTCCCAGAATCATATTTGGTTTTTTTGCAACAGCGTCACACTGTTGACTCATATTTAGCTTGTGGTCCATTATGACCCCTAGATACCTTTCCACGGTACTCCTTCCTAGACAGTCGCTTCCCATTCTGTATGTGTGAAACGGATTGTTCTTTTCTCAGACCAATTCTCCAGTTTGTCCAGATAATTTTGAATTATGACCCTATCTTGCAACCCCTCCCAACTTGGTATCATCTGCAAACATCTCATGGGGAGAAAAAATGTTCTTGTAAGATTTCTGCCTTTCTGGGTTGAGAGCTCATAGAAATAGGTTTTCTTGTGGGATTTCAGTAACATCAACTACAACTTGGTAAATAGGCCTCTTCCATTTTGAAATCCTACCCAGAATCCAGACTGAAATGAGAACATGGGTTCAGGGGTTCGAATCCAAAACCCAGTATTCAAAAGAGTTTAGATTTGAGATTCTGGTTTTGACCCATCTCTAAACATTTTATTTAACCATTTAACCTCTTTTAGGTATGTATAGAACATCAGTCGCCACTGTAAGAAGGGTTAGTTGGGTTGGATAAGTCTTGACAAGAAGACAGAGAACATGTAAAGAAACTGAACCTTTCTAATATGGAATACTTTCAATGAGAAACTCATAAGTTTTTTCCTTCCTAGTTTTTGTTACTAGGGTAATTTACTAGGGCCTCTGTGCTTGTGAATTTCTGTTCCTGCTGTTTACTATTCATGTGAAATAGTAATCCTGTGTTTGTGACCAAAGTTATTTGCTGTGAAAATTATTTTAACGCCACAGAGAGGATTAAGATTTTAAGAGAGAAATAAGGCAGCAGAAATACATGATCACTAAGCAACAGAGAGACTGTTTCATGCATGTATGCTTAATAATAAAAAGGAAAAAAGGCAACACAGAAGGGATAATATATTATCACATTTTTTTCTGAATGGAATGTTTTGGGTAACAACTGTCTCAGGAGGCAACAGTGACCTCCCTTTTGAAAGTTCTCAGGAGCTTAGCAGTTCCTTCATTTTAAGCAGAGTGGTCTAGTTAGGACAGTATTGGCTTGAGGCTCTAGAGAACTGGACTCTATTCCCACCTTTGCCACTAACCTGCATTGCGATCTTGAACAAGTCACTTCCCTTTTCTGTTTCACCTTCCATCCTTCGTCTGTCTTGCCTAGCTAGAATGTATGCTCTTTCGTGACGGGACTGTCTCTTACTAAGTATGTGCATAGCACCTAGCACCAATACCTTCAACTGGGACCTCCCTGTTCTATAGCAATACAAATAACATAAATATCTTGCCCCTTTCCAAAACATCTGATAGAAATAATAGAGATGAACTCTTCAGGGTTCTTTAGAAATGTAGGCTTCTATAGAAACTACTTGAAAAAATTGCAGAATTTAATAGGTTCTCATTCTCTATCGATAGATGTCCTTATACCAACCTATTGAAGACAGAGAATTTTGTACAATAAAATCTTTAGGATGGTTCAGAAAAGCTATAGGAAACTTATTTTGTATTAAATCCATTAGCGCGCTACGTGGGCTTAGAGGTAAACTATTAATTATCCCCAGCTTACAGATTTGCAAAGAGACAGACTGAGGCTTGCTCTGCACTTAAAATTAGATGGACCTTGCTACATTGCTCAGGGCATGGCTGTGAATTTTTTTTTTCCTGTGCACCTAGTTAGGTGGCCCAAACCCCCACTGTAGACAGTTAGGTCAAGGAAGAGTTCAGAGTGCTGCTATGCCACGGTATCACACTGACGGGGTGAAAGACCAAGACTCTCAGCTGTGTCCACTGGTCTGGGGCTGGTTTTGGTGCCCAGCTGGACACAGCTGCAGACTGGATTTCCAAAGTCACAAGCACCCTCAGCTTCAGTTGCAGTCAAGGGCCACTGGCACTGTGGTCGTAGTCAGCGTTTCCAAACAAACACAGCCAAGGGGGCACACAGCTTCCCAGGCCAGAGCCAAAGCCTTTGCTCCATAAACAGGCCTGAACCAAAGCCCACTGATCTGAATTGCACTAAGGGTACTGGAGAGAGATGCCCTTACCCATGTCCCTCCAGTGCCAGTACAGAGCCCGGACTCATGCAGAGGAGGCAGTCAGGGGGAGGCAACATTTAGCTCTCAGTGCAGGAATCAAGGCAGCCACTAGGGTTGCCAGGTGTCTGGTTTCCACCCTGACAGTTCGGTATTTTGGTTTTCTGTCTGGTAAAAACCCCCAGAGAATACCGCACATGTAAAATGTTCAGTATTTTCTCTTTTCCTCAGGTGGATGGCTGGTGGCGTCTGGGAGGGCGGGGGAAGGGAGGAGCACAGTAATTTAAAGGCGCAGCGGACTTTTTTTTTCTGCAAAAAGATGGCTGGTGGCATCTACTAGGGGAGAGCGAGGAACACGGTAATTAAAAAGCGCAGTGACCTTTTTTTTTTTGCTCAACCAATTCTTCCCTGCCTGTTCGGGATTTTTTGTGTAGGTATCTGGCAATCCTAGCAGCCACCAGGGGATGCCAAGGCTGAGGGGTGGCCACTGGGAACTAGTTGACTAGTCCCTCAACTTGTTGCTTCCCCCCCCCCCCCCTCACAGGTGCTGGGATGAGTCAGCTTAAAAGCCAATTCCCCACAGCATCGTCTCTGTAGGGGGCAAGGGAGGCAGTGGGTTTGCCGTGACTGGGCATGAGCCAGGAATGAGTTTATTCCTGGCTTGCACCCAGTCCCAGATGCTGCGCCTCTGCTTTTTAAATGTATTAAGAGCCTGCCAGTTCTTTATACATTTAAAAATCAGAAGCGAAGCGGGAAGACCTGGAGCGAGCTGAGACAGCTGATTCCCTGCTCACACTTGGTCTCCCCACTGTGCTCCAGCCTTTTTACATTTAAGGTTGGTGCACAGCGGGGGGGGAGGGGGACCTAACACGAGCTGGGAATCAGCTGGCTTGGGTCACACTGGGTCCCCCAGCTCTGCTTCAGCCTTTTAAATGAATTAAGAGCCAATAGGCTCTTAATACATTTAAAAGGCAGAGCCACAGTGCAGTTAGTTCCCGAAGCCAGGAGCTATCCCCACTGCAGCTCCCCAGCTTATCGACTAGTTGATTAAATGAAATTTAACATCCCTATTGGGAACCCACAATAGGGATCAGGGTAGCTGCCAGAGAGTACCGGGGCTAAGGGGCAGATGTACAGGTGCTGGGCACCTACTGCAGGGATCAGGGTGGCTGCCAGGGGGCGTCAGGGCTGAGGGGTAGGGAGCAGCCACTGGACCCCACTACAGCAGTGGTTCTCAACTCGTTTCAGTCCACAGACCACCAGGCCAATCAAAAATTTTTCGTGGACCACCTCCTTTATGCGACATGATAAAAAAGAGCAGACAACGAACAGTTTGGTTTGAAATTTATTTCTTACTAACAGATTTTTGGTGCCTGCCCACACCCTGTGATTTTGGACAATGTTCCTGTGGCCCACCGAAAAAAGTCACCATGGACCACCAGTTGAGAACCACAGCACTACAGGGACAAGGCCAGGGTGGATGTGCAGGCACTAGGCACCTACTGCAGGAACTGGGGTGGCTGCCACAAGG